ACAAAATTAGAGGAACTATCCTTTTATTTTATTTGATCCCAACTTTAAGCCATCTCACAGAAAATACATTTAACATTCTCAGCTATAATTTTATTTCAGCTACGATGGGCTTTCTACATCACATTTTTTACCTGATGGTTTAGTCTTGTTTCTACGTACCTGCTGGTGGTTGGGGAAGGTCTTCATGGCTTCGAGTAGCAGCTGTGTGACGTTCCCCAGGAGTCGCACAGGGATTCCAAAGGCCAGTTCCTGTTTCGTGAGGTTGAACACACAGGCACTGGCTGCCAGCTGCACGTTCAGTGTGGCCGGATGATTCTTCATCCCTAATGCTACCAACTGCAGATCGAGAACAAAAGAAAAGTGACGAGCAGGGACATGAGGACTGATACGGAGAAATGCAGTGACCTTTGATTCATTACTCAATCTTTGTGAGTATGCATACCTTCAGGATGTCAGGTCGTGGTTTCTCAATGGCATGAGTGAGGCTGAAGAGGTGGAAGAGAGCTTCTCTGACAAAGCCCTCTCTCTCACTGTATCTTCTCAATGCCTCACAGATCTGAGTCTCATTGGCCTCTCCAGTCACCTGCACAAACAGAAAAATAATCATGATCTTACAATCATTTACAAATAAGCAGCAGGTAATGAGGATAATGTTGCATTTTTCAAAACATCTTGCTGTTGTGTACGAGCACCTACCTTTAAGCTGCCCTCTCCAGACAGGAAGTCAGAGAATCCGGCATCGGTGGCCAGCAGACCAACGAAGGTCATGCCCGGTCTCGCCTCCGCGAAAGCCCTGACCGCTGCATCAGTCACCTGCTTGCGGCCCGAAACATCCAGAGACACCAGCTGGGGCAGGATACCAGGAGTCTCCAGAAGCTGCCGCGCCACGTCGGATGTGAACTGCTTATCGTCGGAGATATCAAGGTGCTGTAAACCCTCCAGCTGGAGAAACAGAAAAACAATGTGCGTACAATTACAAATCATCATGCAGAGGCACAATGACAAACTTCCTAGCCAGAGAGACAAGTTTCTTGAAAGTCAACAAATTAATTTTGTGCTATTTATTTGAAAATACATTTTCATTGTAATGCACAGCTACAATGACTTGAATATAGCTCTTCTTTAGGCCAAATCACACTGCACCAACAGACACGTTCGTCAGGTTTTGTCTGATTAGATACAGGTTTTGCCGTTTGTCAGCCTTGGGACATCTGAGAAGTGATGTACTGTACTCTGTCGGCTGTCGGTGCAGTGTGAATTGGCTTTATGATGAGTGCTTTTTTCATTTCTGTATTAAAATTCATTTTGATTTCTTTAGTATGAAGTCAAAAATATCAGGGTGATACAACTGTCCTGATATCATAATAAAGAAAAACACAAGAGCAAGAAAACATTAAGAAGTCTGGCACGATCTTTTATTATTATTCCATCATATAGTTTTTTATTGTATAATTACATTTTGTATAATTTCAAATGAGAAAAACATGCGTGTTTTATATAAATATATATATATATATACACACACACACACACACACAC